AAACTGGATATAACCTCTACAAATCAGAAGACAAAATGAATATCATATCTTCATCAGCTTCTGAAACTCCATCTCCTAAAAGCAGCTCCTCATCCTTAAGTTTGGTAGAGCAGAATATATGGAGGGGAACTGCAAACAATCTTAAGAGGTAACTAACTGAACCATATGGTGATGTGGTACTTCTCTCAGTGTAGAGTAAATCATGCTCCATGCTGGGTATTGCACTGAGATGATAATGGGACAACTCAAAGACAGTTGTTGTGTGATTCAACCATATACCTTGACCCTTTTGGAAGAATTTCAGGAAATGCAAAGATGTAATAGGAACGCCCCAAATTCAATATTTTCCTGGAGAAACATAATTAGTCTATATTTTCTAGCCCTTCTTGCCATATAGCCACACGACTGAGTACTAGCTAATGAAATCAGTGTACATGAGGAACAACACTTTCAGCCCTAGCTCAGATGTCTGATGGTGGAGTCACCTGATGGAAGGAGTCTGGTCCCCTCAGTAATCACTTGGAGGAGAGACACCGGCCAACTAGGAACACCCACTGGAGACTATTTGAGAATAAGAAATTAAATCCTATTGTATTAAGTTTCGGAGACTGGGGGTTTATCTGTTAAAAACAACTGGCTTACCCAAAGTTATACATTCCCACACTTCATATTCAAAGCAAAGACTGAAAAGATCACTTAGAAATACAAACTTATATCTCCTGTATCAAGAACTGAAAGCAGAGAAAAGAAAAAGATTATCCAGTGATTCTTTAGAGGTCTACAGTTTAAAGTTAATCTAGCATTTAAAGCCTCACTTCACTATGTATTAGATTCATAGCTTTGGGCAAGTGAGTTAATTCCTGAGACTTTTTAATACTCTATCAATAAAAATAAAGTCACCTAAATCAAGAATATTTGTGAAACTTTAAATAAAATAATTTGCTTGAAACACAAAAGTGCTCAGAAATGACACTGTGATGATAATAAAAATTATTGGAGCCAGCAGGTGGTATGGTAGTTAAGGCATTGGACTCCCACATGGTGGTTGAGTACCAGACAACCTGGTGGCTTGCATTCCCACTTTCCCTCTCTTCCTCTCTCTGTCCTTTCTGGTGGGTGCATGTGCCCTATAGCAAATTCAAAAAATAATAATAAATAAGTTAAAGAAATATATTTTTAATAATAAATATTATTAATAAATAAAAATGTATAGCTTTCCCCCAGTCCCACCTAAGTTTCTCTTCTCTTTCCCCATTTTCTAAAGAGAAAAGGACAAAAGATAAATGGGACACACAATCATAGCAAAAGAACCATCAGCAAAGGAGAGGGCAGGCACATGTGTTAAAGGTAAGCAAACTGCAGAGGGGTAAAGAGAAGAACTGGGTAAGCTAGGCGGCAGGGATAAGGTATAGTGAGTGCGTGAGAGTTCTACAGGAGCACATAGCAGATAATAGGAGACTTTAAACCCAGTATTGAGAAGGCCAAAATTCTAACCTAAGTCATACTAATTCAAATGCAACATTAACACAGGACTCAACTCTAAGGTACATGTGTGGGCTGAAATGCTTTAAAAACATTATAATGGCTTTATGCTCTTCTCATCTCTGATGAGCGAAAAAGTTAAAACATCAAAATTACACATACATTCCCTCCACAGTAGAAAGTCAAAGCCTCCACTGCCTTTAGCACAAGAACTATTTCACTAAGATTAGCAAATTTACCTTGATAATTCTTCATTATTATAGTGACTCATCTTTCAACTGTGTGACCTATAAAGATGGCTCAGAACTCCCCACCCTGTCCATTTAAAAGGTAACCTTCTCTGGGACCAGCAGTTGGCATAATGGCTATGTTGCTGGACTCCCATGTAGTCGACCGCAGTTCAAGTACCGGACCAAGTGGCTTAAACTCACGCCAGGCGCGTGTGAGTGCATGTCCAAGATCCTGAGAGGAGAAGGGATTGTAGCGTGGCCATCCTCCCCCCAGGGGCAGGAATGATTTCTCGCTTTCTCTCTCTTTCTGGTGAGCACATGTACCCTATAGCAAAAACCTCTCTATTTAAAAAAAAAAAAAAAAAAAAGGAAACTTAACCTGTGAAGGTAGAAAGGTATTGAAAAATAAGTAGTAGTGACAAGTGAAAATGTCAGTCAAGCACATCTGCATGTATCCAGGTTCCAACACTTACTATTTGTGTGACTTTGGCCTAAATATTTATCTTTACTAAATAGCAACTTTATCCTTTATAAAATGGGAAAACTTCTACTTTCTTTTGGTTTTCTGTTAGGGATAGTATATAAAAGTACCTGTATTGTACAAAGTAGTAGAGGCTAAACAGCTGATAGCTTATATTATAATGCATAAAAAGCAAATTTCCACAATCACAGAAGTTCAGAAGATAATCTTATTTCATTTTCCTCATTTGCAGATAAGGAATTTGTACATGGAAGTGAAGGTAGTTAGTGGTTTAGACAGGTCTCTTAACTCCCAGAGCAGTATTCTTTTTAATTGTACCCTATACCCATTTTTAAGGATGAAAATACTGGGAACAGAAAAGGAAAAGAATCTGGGAAACTATTTTTAATTCTCATTCCAGAGTATACCATGTTCAGTAAGGAGGCTATCATGATAAATGAAAACTGTTAATTATAATATTTTCAATTCAGTCTCTGAAATGGTTATAAAATAATTTCAAAGCATACTAGATGATTAATTTTTTCACAAAATTACTGGAGAAATCTTTTTAGAAATATAACTCCTCTCACTGGGCCTCATCAAAATAAAATATTAAATTATCTTTTTTAATGATGCTCTTTTTTTTCCAAAATATTATTTAGTTGGCTAAGACTAAAACTTTTTTAAAAGATTTATAGCTATTGAACAATTAGGAATAAAAGTATAGGATGTCTGAAAATTATTTCGGAATAACACAGAATAAAAGGAGACAGGTAGGGAACAACTCTAATGGTACAGGGGTAATGCTATTACACAATTTTGAAGCCATATGGGAAGGTCTTGGATTCTTGTCCTGAGGTCTCCCTGTATATACCAGGCATATGCATGTGCCTATGACTTGGGTGGTTGAGGCTAGGGAGCAGGGGGATCTGGATATTAGGTAAGCCACTATACACACAAAAAATGGGGCGGGGGGGAACGAAACACTAGTCACCATCCCGAATCCCTTGAGTGACTCAACTAGCTGGGGATTAGCATATTAGATAACTAATATCTAATATGGTAAGTGTTACAATAATGCTATGACAGAAAGTGCTGAGAAGAAAAAACGGGGATTAATTCATTATGCTTATGAAAGAAACTGAGTGTTAACAAAGATTTCTTAAAAAGAATGACATTAAGAAAGTAGAGTTTTCAGCCAGTGGCTGGAAAGTGGAAAATGTTCAGGCATTCAAAGCAGGAAAAAGGTACATTAAGCCAAAACAAAAAGCCAAGAGAAAACAAGGCGTGTGCTTAGAATTATAAGTAGCCTATGACAGCTCTAGTGTGCCGACGGGTAGGAGTGAGAGAAGGATAGGAATAGGGCCAGTAAACTACCCAAGATCTTATTTTGAATGGAACCAGCAGATGGCGTGGTGGTTAAGGTGCTGAACACTCCCACATGGTCGACTGTGGTTCAAGTCCTGGACCTAGAGACTTGCTTTCTCACTCGCCCCTCCCCATGTCTCTCTCTGGTCAAGTTAAAATAAATGAATGAATAAATAAAATTAAATAATTCATTTTTTAAAACAAATAAACAAAGGGTCTTAAATGAGTCTAAGCAATATGAACATAGTCAGAGGTCAATGAAAGATTTCAAGGAGAGAAAAGATGCTGTTGGTATCATCTACATTTTAGAACTATTACTGTTAGTAGTGTGTATGACAACGTGAATAATAAAAGGTGAGATACAAAGAATAGTCAGTAAGAAGATGGCACCTGGACTAATGTAGCAATAGAAACTGAAAAAGATGAGCCAAGACTTTGGACGTACAATTAACAGAATTGAGTCTGGGATGTGTACAGGGACAAATGAAGAATGGGGAGACTCAAAAGTAAGAGCAAAGTATTGAAAAATAATGCTTTTTCTCTAGAGCATGGAGTTCAGGTAAGTAGGGATGGTACAGAAATAAAAAATGAAGACAATAAATTCCATTTTGAATGTGTTGGATCTGACACTATGCGATCTGAATGTGCTACTAACACCCTACCCAATAGGTAATTTTAGAATATGAGTTTGTAAAGACCAGCAGATGGTATAATGGTTACACTGCTGAACTCCCACGTAGTCAAACATAGTTCGAATTCAAGACCCAGTGCCTTAAAGCTTACGCTGGACACGAGCACATGTGCCCAAAATCCTAAGAGGAAAATAGAAGAGGACTGGCATGGCCATGCCCCCAGGGGGTGATTTCTCACTCTCTCTCTCTCTGCCTCTCCAGTGAGCAGACATGCACTGTATCCCCAAAAAAATCTTTCTTAAAAAAAATATGAGTTTGTAGTCAGGAGAGAAGACAGGCTATAGATATGCAGGAAGCATCTGCATGTATGTGCTAAGACGTAGAAATGATTACCAACAGGGAGGTTACAGAGTAACAGGATATAGTATGCCCCAGGTTATCTCCAGTTAGGCCTTTAATGCACACACCTCCAGGCTATTTTTTCTATTGTACTTTGTATTTATTTCATGATTATTTTAAATATTCTTCATTTTTAAAACATATAATCCCCCAAACCACTTCCCATTTCCTCTTTTATTTCTTCATAAACCTAGTACATTAGGTTCAATAATGACCAAATAATAAATAAATCCAGCCTTTAGCTATAATCCAAGAAATCAAGGCAAGACTATTGAACTTAACCGAGGAGTAAAACAGAACGGGACTGATACACACACCACAGGCTACCTGACTATGAGAAGCTTTAGATAAGTCCGTATGAGATATTGAGTAAATTATATTACTTAAAGTATTTTATAAAAGTTGATAAGCATAATCCCCATTACTTACCAGGCCTTTGATCCTGTCCCCGTACACAAATTGAGCCCAGAACTCTTCTGTTTTTCCCATGGACCATCATCTACTGAAATCTCATAGTAGGAAGCCCTATGAATTAAGAACATAAAACTATGTTTGCTAAGTGAAATAAGTAAGTGTGGTTCACAGTAAAAAAGACAAATATGATGTTCTTCAGAGCTGATGAACTCTAAGTCAGCTTCAGCAAGACAATCTGACTTAGCAGGTATACACATCATGATGGTGCTAATTCCAATACTGATTATGGGAAAAAGTTAGAAAAAAATAAATTAATATACGTCTGCGTGTCTGCACGTTTTTCTGATCTGTATGCGCCTTTCTATCAACACTTTAAAATTTCAAACAAGGGCTTTTTGTAATGTTTTAACTAGTACTGTCACTACTGCTATTACAGAATCTAGCACATACGGAGTCTCACTTCAGACTTCAAAGAAGAAAATATTCTTAGGTAAATTCCATTCTTGGTAGCTAGCCTTTAATATATCTAAATCTACATCTAACTATTTGAGTTACCAATAGTTTTTGCTGAACTCTTGTTTTTTAAAGTTATATGCCAATATAGCTTTTGAAATGGTAGTAAGTTATCAGAGATAAAATAATAAAGCCTTAAGGAAAATTCTCAACCAGTACTGAATTAGCGAACAAACTAGGAATAAAACTAGAACTGTGACTTAATAAGAGATTTACATTTCTTAGGATACTCATAAATATAAAATCAAATTAATTTTCTGACACCAGAAAAAAATGGCTTTTTTTAAACCTCCATTAATGTATAAATGATTTACAACTATTCAAAGATCTTTTGAAATGTGTAAAAGCCTATTCTGTAAACTTTATCTCAAAACATTGGTGTCACTGATGGACTATTTTTTTCATCCAAACGAAGTGGTTAAAATATACCCTTAGTGAAATAAAATACAGCTTTTCAAATAATAACAATTATTAGATATGCTTGCAAACACTAACACTATGGAAATGTATCCCTTATTCTAACCCTTGCAATTTCTCATGCAAGCTCTTAATTTTTTTTCATTTTTTTCTCTGAAGTCAACATTCCTTGTAAAAAATAGCAGGCCTACCATCCACATTAAATCTATTTTATAGCTCTGTTATACCTTCTAGAAAATGTACATTAGGAGCCTACTATGTACACAAGCCAGCCAAATACATAGAAGTGGCTGCTAATCTATGCCAGAATCAAGTGGAAACAAGATTAGAGGTAAGTGGGAATGGGTAAAAGAGAAGCAGAGTTAGAGAAGAAAAGTAGAGTCAGGTGAGAGATACTGAGCCCAAAATAATAAGCAAATTTAGTGTCATTCTCACATGCAGGTTTATCAAGATTAGTCAATTCACAGAATTTTGTTTCAGGGGAAATTATTTTTTTAAAGGCAGCAATAAAACTCACAGTCCCTTTAGAGTGGGTATACTTCTTCTTAAACTGTCCACTGCTACAGCCCAACAATAAGACATTCTAGGTTAGAACAAATAGAAAAAAAGAAAAAAATTGGGCTTTTAAAATGTTCTTAAATCTAAGAACATTATGAGGCAGGAATAATATTGCTGCACTTCATATTTTCCAAGCAAAGCACTTAAATTTTCAGAGCACAGTGGAGCCTCAATACAGGATCTGGAATCAGAAATACTGCTATTATATAACAGTTCTGATGCTAACTAATTACATGACATTGGGCAAGTTATTTGAACTCAACAAATCTCAATTTTTTCATGGATAAATACAACTGCCTTTCTCATAGTGTTGCTATGAGCATTAAATAGCATACACAATATACACAGTGCCTGACATATACCAGGCATCCAAAAATGTTTATTTCATTTCTGCCTAAGTGTCAATATCATAAACTCTTTATGTTTTGAGACCAGCAGGTGGTGTAATGGTTATGTTGCTGGACTCTCATGTAGCAGACTGTGGTTCAAGTTCCGGACCTGGCAGCTTCAAACACACTGGGCGCATGTGGTACATGCCCAAAATATCAAGAGGAGAATGGAGAAGGGATTGCAGAGTGGTCATCCCTCCTGTGGGAGGTGATTTCTTGCTTTCTCTCTGGCAAGCGCACACACCCTATAGCAAAAATCTCTCTTAAAAAACAAAAACAAAAACAAAAAAACACAATGTTCTAACAACTCCAGTAGTTAAACTGTTTTCAATAGCATCAGCGCTAACCCACAGCTGTCCTTATCTTAGTAAATACATAAGGTGAAGCATCAAAAAACACAAAAAGCAGCAGCAGCACCTATTATTTAGAAGATGGACCAACCAGATCACTACTGTCAGAAGAAATAAAAGCATTCAATCTAAAATCTCCTCAAGGACCCTCACTGACTCCCTAAAAGTCAATCCACTCATCCTAGACCTCCTTCATAAGTCACTTAATTTTTTTTAATAAGTACAAATTTTAAAGCAACACTAGTAGCAACTCTCAGTAGTTAACCATACAACTTTTAAGATAAACAATAAAATAAGTCATTAAGTGGCCTGCCTAAAGTAAATATAAACTCACAAAATGTGTTTATCCTTTTCTTCTAATATAGACTTTCTCAAATCTCATGTAATGTTGTTGCTCTCTTCTTTGTCTTATGTCTTTAGCAATAAGGACTAGATTATATCAACTAATTAGAGCTGCACGTTCTTCCTTCCCTCTCCTATCATATAACAGTTATCTAGTATTCATCTCCATATTGCTTCCAACTTGATATGGAGCAAAAGAAAAGGCTCTCGATATAGCATAGTCTTATGTTGGAATACATTTTTGCACTTTCCCTTTTGGGTTTCCTTTAAATATTTCCTTTGAAGAATAAGTTAATTTTAATGTTTTTTAATTATGCATTTATTACCCTTCAAAAAATAAACCAGCTTTATCTTATATACCTTTATATCCAAAGTGATTCACACATTTACATAGAAGGCATACAATGCATTTTTATTGACTAATTGTAATAATACAACAAAATAGATATATTAAACTAAAGAGATTTTTCAAATCATCCTGTTGAATCAGGCTTTACTCTTTTCAATATTACCTAAGCTACATCATTGGCTAGACTATGGATTTCTTTAAGTAAGACAAATTTTTCTTGCCATAATTAAACTTCTTATGAAAGGATGTAAATTTCAACAGACAGATATTCAGAATTTGTGGAACTCTCAGTAAACTAGGAATTAAATACATGGTCTTCAAATGTTTCCATGATTCAGCAGCAGGAAAGTGGGACATGAAAATCAACCTAATTCTTCTACCCTAATTTACTTACATCTGCAAAACATGAGAAGTCAGTCAAGTCCTAAAGTTAAACTAATTTTACATTATGGAATTCATTTATAGCTGATAACTAAGTCAAACCCACACAGTAAGTTTTGTAAAAACATTCTCTTGACAATTTAAGCCTAAACTATATTCAGTCCCATAAAACAGGCTGTATCAGTAATAAAACACACACTACATGTTTATGCTTCTAATGAAGAACTATATTAGTTTAATTTCTGCTAATAATAAGTTTAAACTGTCAGTACACTTGCTTTATGATGTGTTACACTAAAAAGGGTATAACTTCATCTATGTAGCATCCCTGTGAAAACTGCCTAAACTGAATCTTAGCATAGAAGGAAAAATCAATTATACAAATATTGGGGCCAACAGGTGGTGTGGTATTTAAGGCGCTGGACTCTCACATGGCTTAACGTGATTCGAGTCCTGGACCTGGCAGCTTGCTTCTTACTCTCTTTCTCTCTGCCTCTCACTGGTGCATATACGTGTCCTACAGCAAATGTAAAAATAATAATAACAATAAAGAAAATTTTTAAAAATTATACGAATATAATATAAGAAATATTCCCCAAGCCAATTAACTTAGACCATTCTAAAATATTAATATAAAATAAGACAGCAGTGGGGCTAAGAGTCTATTATTAAGTAATTTTAAAGGACCAAAATGGCCAAATGCAATGTGTGATCTTTAACTTGATCCTGGATAAACACAAACACACAAACAAGTCAGCTTTAAAGAACACTAAGACAATTAGTGGAAATTTTGTTATGTACTACTTATAAAATGCTTAACATCAATTGTAAATACATGCCTAGTATTCCTGTCTTAAACCTTTATAAAGCACCCATGTATTAAGACTCAAGAAAGTGGTACAGTCAAGAAACTTAAAATAACTTTGTTTAACCTAGGGTTTCACAAACATTTTTAGTCAGGGAATGTTCTTCCTCCTTAATAAGTATTAACATGTATAAAGTTTTTGGAAATATTTCATTAAATGATTAACCTGAATGACTTATACAGTACTAATTATTCACACATCTTAGCCAGGCTGTAGCAACTGAATACTCAGGAAAGTACTAAAACATTAAATCCAAACTTGAGATTACAGGTTCTGAAGTACCTGGATGACAGACTCTCCCCAATGAAGACTTCATTTAGTGCTCTCACAGGCAAAAGCTGAGGTCCTGAAGCCTGAGACCCTAAAGATAGTGGGGGGGGGGGGGGAGGGGGAAATGATAGCTCCTTGAATTTTAGAAATGTTATGACAAAAACTTTATAAAATACTAAAACATACATTTTGTTTTCATAGAATCATATACTTTAGTTAACATATAAACTGAGTATTTCTTAAAGTATCCATAATATAAACCTTAAAGTTACCTAACTTTATACCTGCAAAGAAGCCCTTAATGCTCCAAAATAAACCTTAATTTTTCTTAAAACAATTTTTCAAGAATGATGAAACATATTTATCCATCTCTTAATATTCTTACTGTTATACTTAATTTTACCGCTAAAGCTTCAAAAATTAAACTGATCATGTACTTCCAAAGGAGAGCCATTTAAATTTAAGCTGCAAATTACATATATAGCTCATGTCAGAAACCAAACTCAATAAGTTAATGGATCAGGATTTTTTTTTCCCACACAGAGAATTTTTTTTTCTTTAGAGCATTTTCATCAACAGTTGCACTGAAGAAACACCACCACATCTCCTTTCATAACTTCTAAAAAATGTCACCTTTCTATTTTTATAATTCTTTTATTTTTTTTGAGAGGTTTTTGCTATAGGGCACATGTGCTTATCAGACAGACAGAAAGAGACAGAGAGACAGAAAGTGAGAAATCAACCCGGGGGGATGACCACGCCGCAATCCCTTCTCCTCCATTCTCCTCTTAGATCTTGGGCATGCACGCACACGCACCCAGCCTGAGTTTAAGCCACCAGGTCCAGGACTAGAACCGCGGTCGACTACATGAGAGTCCAGCAACATAGCCATTATGCCAACTGTTGGTCCTGCATCTTCCCATTTATTAATCTGTAAGGTTGTGGGCACATTTTAAGTAAACTTCCTTGATGATTATTTAAACATCATTTTATCACATAAAATGTTCCAAAAGTGTCCCAGGGCTCTCTGAATCAAACTTGTAATGTTACCTTTAAACAGCTCCCCTTACATCCTTTATCAATTTCCAACTGGAAGTCCCAACCCTCTTTTCTCAGTATCTCCAATAGATTTATTGCACTTAAGTATCTCACAAGGCAATCATGGGACAAGTTCATTTTCTCTCCCCTAAACAATTTCTCTCAAGTCAATGTTTAAATGTCTATCCCAGTTGGGGACTAGCAGATGTGTAATAGCTACACTGCTGGACTCCCATGTGGTCAACCACAGTTCAAGGTCTGGACCTGGCAGCTTAAAACTCATGCTGGACAAATGTGTGTGCATGCCCAAAATCCAAAGAGAGGAAGAGACTGCAGCATTGGCCACACACACACACACACACGGGGGGAGTGATTTCTCACTTTCTGTCTCTCTGGGAAGTGCACATGGCCTATAGCAAAAATCTCTCTCTAAAAACAAAGTCCATCCCAGTTGTGGTAGGCAACCTCCAATATGATCTCCAGTGATTTCTGCCTCCTGGCATTCACTTCCTTGTGAATACACATCCTTATCCCCACATTGTACCAGGGTTGCCTTAGGTGACCAATAGAATAAGACTGAAGTGATAATATGTCACTTCAGATCAGAAGTTAGAAAAGACACTGTGGATTCAGCCTTGACCACCTTCTTTCTCTCAGATCTCTTGTTCTGGGAGATGACAATCATGAGCAGCCTCTCAAGGGCAAACATGGTAAGAAAATGAAGCCTCTTAATAACAGCCATGTGATGAGCTGGGAAGTGAACTGTCTAGTCCCAGACATGTCTGCAGATACTGCTGTCCTGGCTGACAGCTTGACTATTACCTTCTGAGAGATCCTACAACAGAGCTAACCAGCTAAATTGCCCTTGGATTATTAACCTTCACAATCTATGTAAGATCATAAATATTTATGTTTAAGATGCTAAAATGAAGGTTCAATTTATTACACAGCAATAGATACTTAATACACATTAGATAACAAATACACTCATTAAATCACCACTGTCACTAGCATTACCACTCATTTATTCTTCTCCTGTGACTTTCTAGTCTGATTACATCTTCTCATTTATATGTTTATTAAATTAAACATTAATTACTTTTTAAATTCTTTTGGTTTATAACTGCCTAGGGAAAACTATTGTTTCAAATACTATGTTATTATTATAGCACTGAGGATTCTTTGAGCATTTACTTGCCGAAATTATCAGTCTGACCTCATTATACAATAAAGAACTTGACGTAGGGGCCAGCATGTGGCATGATAGTTAAGGCACTGAATCACACATGGCTAACTGCAGTTGGAGCCCCAGACTTGGTGGCTTGAAAATCATAACCAGGCGCATGTGCATGCATGTCCAAAATCCTGGGGAATGGAGGAGAAGGGATTGCAGGATTGCAGCATGGCCATCCCATCGAGGAATGATTTCTCATTTTCCCTCTTTCTGTTTCTCTCCGGTGAGCACATGCACACTATGGCAAAAACTTAAAAAGAACCTGACATACAAAGCTATATAAAAATATTTGGAGCCAGACAGTAGTACATTGGTAGAAAGCAATTCTCTGCAAAGCAATGCCATATGGGAGGCTTCCCAGTTCAAGTCTAAAGACCTCCCAAAGTATGCTAAGTACATGTTTGCTCACTGCCTGGTGCTGACTGAGGGATATATGACAGCATCAGGACCTTGTTGGGGTTCTGCGCTCTCTCTCTCTCTCTCTCACACATACACACACACACACACTCATGAAGAAAAGGTTTATTAAAAAGCTATAAAATGATTTAATGTGTTTAATTAAATTTGACTGCACTGAAGACTGTTAAAGTAACTTGGGAAACTCTTAATTTGATATTAGGGTATATTCAGAATCTTCTAGCTGACAAATGTCCAACACTACAATTTATTGTTTATTTTTCTTTAAGTAAGGTAATTACTCATGGAATTTGTTTTATATTTCTATCCCTACAAACTTTGTAGCAAGGAGGAGAAAAGACTGCAGCCTGGCCACCCACGGGAGTGATTTCTTATTTTCCCTCTCCGTCTCTCTCTGGTGGATGCACACACCTTATGGCAAGAAAAAAAAAAAAAAAAAAATAAAAAAATAAATAACAGGACTGTTGCTCAGCATTACTACTGGGCAATCTGCAACTACTCTGATTCCAGATTCCTTTTATATAAGAGAGTCCAATGAACACCACTATCACCATCACCACCTCTTCTCTGAAAGCTTTCAGTAGCTGTTTCATCCCTACTATTCTAAAACCTTGGTATAGGACCGTTCATCACTAATCATGCTAAAAACTCTGAGCCGTTTCAATTCAAAAGCTATTGTCTATGTTTTGAGAAATTTTCGTGCATTTTTAAATTATGAACATTTTTTTAATGTTCTTTTTTGGAACTACCATCAATCAAATGTAAACATCCTGGATACTGAGCTATAATGTACCAAGTTAATATGTAATTTTGTTTCTGTATAAGAGGGCACTTCAAAAACTGCTGAAAAATGGACAAATTTGTTTTGTTGCAAAAAAATTTTTGAAATCCATGCATAGTTTTTTCACAAGTACATTCCATGAACTTTTTGAAAATTCCTCAAATGAAGTATTAAACACTGTATTTGTAAACTAAACACAGTGAATCTGACAGTTATCTAAGCAGTGAATTCCAATTTACACCTTCTTATATGAAGGTTGGTGCAAAAAACACAAATCTGGTAGCAGTTAACTTCTTTCAGTTAGAGAGAAAGTAAAATTTCTAGCTACAAATTAAAAATATTACTTAATACTTAAGGCAGATTTCCCAAAGCAATAATAGAAAGTTATATCCATAATTTCTTAAAAGATTCCTTAAATTAATCACTTTTCTTAGAAAAGAATACTTAAAACAAGACAGAAACAAGCACTTTAAGAACATGTTAACTTACAAAGCTATAAATCACCCTGAAAAATTCTGGAAAAATGGACATGAACATAAAGTATTATGAGACAGCAGAGAAGAAAGCAAATAGCTTTTCCTGATGAGTTTATCCAAAAATGAAATACAGAAGAAAGAACATCTCTTTATACAGTCCCCAAAGGCTTTATCTTGGGATTTCTGCATGAGAATCTTACAGTTACTGGGAAAAGTGGGAAATATGGCTACATAACAATCCACAAATTTAGCTTAAAACTCAGAATTCACCTTAACACTCATAGCAAAAAGCTGCGTATCACCCTATGCTGGCATTTCATAGCAACTTACACAAATACATCAAACACAAATCTTAAGGCACAAATGCAAAATTTTCCAACAAAAAGATTTTAATCAAGAACTATGACAAGATATATAACTATACAAAAAAGTATAATTATGGGACCAGCAGATGGTGTAAAGGTTCTATCACTGGACTCTCACTGTGATGAGAGTGGCTGAGCTCAGTTAGAGTCCCAGGACCAGAGGTTTGAAACTTGCACAAGGCACGTGTGCCCAAGATCTCAAGAGGAGAATGGAGAAGGGACTGTGGCATGTCATCCTCCCTGGAGGGTGATTTCTCGCTTTCTGTCTCTCTGTCTCTCTTTCTCTGGCAAGCACGCCCTATAACAACAACAACAAAAAAAACTCTCAAAAAAGCATAATTATTATAAATTCACCCACAGACTAGCTTATTTTACCTTTACTCTTTTTTTCTTTTTTGACATTTCAAAGACTAAGGCTAAGAATCTTTTCTTAAACATCAATCATCCAATCAGATATTTTATACTTCTTTCCTAAACAACTGGTTTTCTAACCTGCCCTAAAATACATTTCTTCTCAAAGTATGCTATATTTCATAATTCATATTCTAATTATATAATAAATCCTACAATTGAAATAGTTCATACTACTTTAAGTGTTGGTAGTACTATGAATAAATTCTATATAAATGACTACCTCAAAATATAAAGCCAAACTAACTATAACTTAAATATTGTTCCAAACACTTCTAATTCCCAATGCACCTACTTTCATCTTGAACTCTTTCAATGTTAAATGCTCTACTATGTTGATTCAAACTGAGCTGCTGTTCATGAAGGTCCACAGGAACAGGATTTATGCCAGTCCCTTCAAGGTATAACCTGATTCGTTGCCTCCATAACCACCTTAGAAAAGTGAATGAAATGCAAGTTATATTAAAATAGAATAAATGAAACTAAGGATTAGACATTATAATAAGTTAACCAAATTAAAAATCCATATTAAAAACTATTCCATGAATAAATTAATCAGAAATTATAATATCTTATAAAACTCACAGATTCCTACCCAAAGACAAATTTAAATGTTTATTTATCCTCTCAATTATAATGGAAATAGCTAACATGTTTGTACAAATCTCCCAAGTGACTTGAGTTATTTTAAGTCAAATTATCAAGATACTGAGAAGAACACAGTTCGTGTTTTACTCAGAAAAAAATCATTATTAAAATCCAAAATTAATATATTATATTAAGATAACTGAACTGCATAACATCCCAAGAAATTTCATGATTTTTTTAAAACAAAAGAAAAAAGACATTAAGAAATAACAAATATCACTATTTTTGATTATACCTAAAAACTTAAATGACATTTCTGGTAAAAGAAAAATAAGAATCAAGTTTAATTGATTTCAAAACAAAAATCAATGTACCGGGACCAGCAATTGGCATAAGAGCTATGTCACTGTACTCCCATGTAGTTGACCATGGTTCAAGTCCCAGACACGGTGGCTTAAACTCATGCCAGGCACGTTTGCATGCATGCCCAAGTTCCCCAGAGGAGAATGGATTACGGTATGGCCATCCCCCCTGAGGGGGGGTGTGATTTCTCGCTTTCTGTCTCTCTCTCTCTCTGTCTTTCTGGCAAGCGCATGCGCCCTACAGCAAAAACCTCTTCAAAAAAGAAAAAGAAAAAGAAAAAAAAATAAGTGTACCAAAAGCCAGTGGGACAGATTCTACTACATAGGTGTATAAAAATATACTTACACTTAGTGATTTTAAATTAGTAATTTCTAGCGATGCCAAATTTTCGAAATGCCTAGAAACTAGAATGAGTGAAAGTAAAATGGTCCCAAAAAAAGGTAATACAGACAGATTCATGAATATATGGGGGAAAAGCTTTCTCAAAACTATAAAATCTAATCCAAATCAGAAAATAGAATATAGTCCAAATTGGCTCTTTCAATAATTGGCCAGCCCCACTTCAGTTCTTCTCTTTACAGTCCTCTTTTCATGGTATTCTAACAACTGAGCAGATTGAGTGAAAGAAATATGAAAAAACATCTCCCCCCAGTACTTAAGAAACACTTAATATGTAGAACAGAGATACCAGTAATCACAGGAATGATTAGATTAAATCCAATCCTCAGTCATTAATGGGTGGGAGATGAGGACAAAAATATAAAAATCTCACAAAGAAGATACTCACTCAACTTTAGTCAACAGTTTAACTACCTTCCTATTAAAGTGCTAAGAATATGTAATAAGGTAAAGATAGCAGAGCTATGGTCTCCACCTCACTGAAGAAACTTCTCTATTTGTAATTAGTTCACAGACCTAGTAACATTTGTCAAGGTCTACACAATACCTACTGGGCTAGGAGAAGAAAAGTTACATCTGTGTCTCAGTGGTACCACTTTTTATGGTTCCTCTCATAACTATGGAGTAGCTACATATAATTATCTGATTTGTCCTGTTTTTAATAGCTCCATTGATGGCACATATTTATTAAATATTTCTACAAGGATAATAGTAAAAAGTTCCTACCTGAACTCACCACGATAGAACTTCTGTAAGGCTTCTGGGAAGGAATGTGTGTATCGAACAGGCAGACATAAGTGACCCTCAGACCTTTATTTTAAAAGAGATTTTTGGGGAGTGTAAAGCAGAGAAGAAAAACAGTGGAGAGAAAAAAAAATTAAGGTATAACTTAACTATAGAAATCTAATACGAAATTTAAAAAAATTCTATTCCATACTTCATATTTTTGCCACAGAATTGTCTGTAAATTCAACTAGAGCACCAAAAAAAGACCAAATAGAAACAGTCTACATACAGTTTTTAATATGCTATCATAAGACTTAAGTTTGCACATTTCAATGAAAGTAATTTAAAAAATAACAACACATCTGCTACTGCTTAATTAACCTGTAAAGCTATCTAATAAAATAGTGCTGTTTGTATCTTAAATTATTTAATGATTAACGATAGGAAAGTCATTTTAGCAACAACTTCCTCATCCCTAAATCGTACTAAAACCATCAATCTCATAAAGTTATTGCGAGGAACAAAATTGTTTATGTGAAAGTATTTTGAACCACAGTCCTTATTTAAATGTAAAGATATCCCAAATTTCTGAAAGAAAACTGACAAAGTTTAATTTAATGTAATCTTTCATTTATCCAAAACTTAGGAAGACTTCAAAAAGTCTATGGAGAAATGGATTGAGTAGTCATTTATTTTGGTACAAAAATATTTTGAAAGTCATACTTCTAAGCTACAAGGTGGTAAGATTGCCTATAGGTTGCTAGAGGAAGATGAGAGTAAGTATATAGCATCTAAAGGTGTCCAGAAAACTCATTAACCATCATTTATATGATGCTTCACTCGCTTTTTTGGAGTTTATTTCTTCCATGAGAGAGAGAGAGAAAAAAGGAAAAGGAGGCACCCCCAAACAGGGTCTTCATGGCACAATCTATCCCCAGTTAGCCTGGATCATGGACACACACTTGTGCCTGGCATGTACGGTGAGACATTGGAACATAAACCTGATACCTTTCCATGTGAGTTCAGCGTCATAAAGCACCAAGACACTGCTGTACCACCAGTGGGCCCTGATGCTTTGATTGCAAAAAAAAAAAAAAAAAAAAAAAAAAAAGGCCGGTAGTAGGCTCAGCAGAAATAAATTTCTGATAATAAATGTAAATTAACTTTTAAGTGTGAAGAGCAGAGAAAAATTTTTTTTTACAAAATTGTCACCAGCCAATTTCTTTATCTGACAAGGTCAACACTGAGGTTAAGAAAGGGTGGGGCCAACCCAGCTATGGTAGCATGCACCTGTTGCTGTTGCTACTTGGCAGACAGGTTAAAACTATATAGGAGGCCCGAGTTCAATTTGTAGCTACCCCTCGAGGCTTGAACACATGCTGGGCATGTGCGTGTGCATGCCCAACATTCTGACAGGACGGAGAAATGGCGAAGAAAGGACTATGATACAACCCTGCCCCACTGAGGGTGCTTTCTCCCTCTCCCTCTCTGTCTCTCTCTCTCTCTGGCAAGTGCATGCACGCTCTAACAATTTAAAAAGAAGGCTTATTGAAGGAAAAAAGATGAAGGAAACAATGGCTACACAAGAGTTGAACAGTCCCTCTTGAAGTTGCCACCACAGGAACAGGGAAGAGAGGTGAGTAGGGCTACATAAACATTTTTGAGCAGTAATAAGGGTCCAGTTCTAAATGCTGGAGACTACAAATTAGAAGTGTCACAAAGTCCAAGTATGTGTGATATTTTTTCCCAGACGGCTTTAGGAGTGCTGATGTAGAAACAGGAAGAATGATGGTCGGGCTGATCTAGAATTATGCACAAAGATAATAAAGAATATTTGAGAGCCTAGCCACAGTGAAGGTGGTAGTTCACCACTGTGCAATACTGGAGCCATATAAAAGGCCCAGTTCTGATCTTAGGTCCACCTGAACTTACCAGGTGTGCCCTTATGTCCCTGAGATCCTAGGTGGCTGGATTGGGGTAATAATCGTGGCAAGGAGAGACCCTTTCTTTGCCTGTCTCTCTCTCTGTCTTTCTCATGAAATTAGTAAAATAAACTTTAAAAAAATATTTAATGGCCCGTCCATGGTGGCACAAGCAGTAGGGCACTGCTTAATACTGGAGCCACATGAGAAAGTCCTGAGTTTAATATCTGGGTCAGCTTAAACACATAGGCCATACCCACAATCCGTGCGGGCTAGAAAGGCTGACAGGAGAGCACATATGCTGTAGTGTGCAAGAGCCTAGCTGGAGACCCTCTCCATCATCTTCTTTCTTTCTTCCCTACCCCCAGATGGAAGTTCCTCTCCCCCTCCTTTCCTCTCTCATGAAAGAAAGAAACTTTTAAAAAATCCATATTTAAGAAATTTTCCAGAAAGTGAATGAAGTGATGGAGAACTAAGTGAAGAAAAGGGAAGGGATCAGAGTACTGAAACCCAAAGGGCAGACTTAGTGAAATGAGACAGTAAGACTGCTGTGAAGCTAGTAGGTGGTAGTCAGGGTGGAATTAGGATCATAGAGATGGTAAATTTAGATGATCATAAAGTCCAAGTATAGTTATAGTTGTGGGCGGGTGGAGCAAAAAGGGGGTAAAGACAAGAAAGGCCAAAAAAGAAAAAAAGTTCTAACAATCTTGGAGTTATCTATTCATTAAGTTAACACTCACCCAAAAAAATCAGTGGCAGTATAACCAGGAATGTAAATATGAGCCATAAGAAAGGGTAGAATTATCAACTTATCCCTCTTCAGCAATGCCAAAAGTCACCAACAATCACCTGGGTCAAAGGCTCATGTCCATTCTGCAGACCCTACTCCCAAGCTACCTAGGAAGCTCGAATATGGAACTGGACCATCCCATGACATAATTTTCTACCATTGATGCCAGCTAGATACATATGTATTTCTCATGCCTCAACTGAAAACTACAGCTATGTCCTTGAAAACAACAACATAAATGATATCCCTACTGAAGGCAAAGAGGAATTCTATATGCCTAAATTTCATTACTAAAATGTTTTGGGAATATGGTTCTATCTACTGTTTATGGTAACTAGGAACAATGATGCTTCACTCTAAACATCATGTGCCACAGTAAAATCTTCTAACAGCAAAGCTTGGCAACCTGATGACACTAGATAAAGTAAAGAAGAGCTTCCAAGTTTTAAGATTTAACATACATGGGGGCCAGCAGGTGGCATGATGGTTGGGGCGCTGGACTTGCACATGGCCAATCGACCATGGTTTGAGTCTCAGACTGAGCAGCTTGCTTTCTCACTCCCCGCCCCCCCCCGTCTCTCTCTGGTCAAAATAATAATAATAAATAAAATTAAAGCAATAATTCTTTTAAAAAAAGACATCATAAATAGACACTATGTAAAGCACTGATGCTGCATGTATAGCACACACACACAAAGCACCACAAATAATGAAACGAACATGTACTTTCTTACCGTTCTGGATCCGTGTTTACCCCAATAACTGGCTTCAGTCTGTCTAAGACTTTACTTGCTGCCAGAAGCATTGTGCCATCACCTGCAGACATGAAACAAAGATGAGACAAAACCAGACTTCATTCAACAAACCAGTTTTTGAAATTTAAAAAAGAGGTTTATTGAAGGAGAAAGGATGAAGGAAACAAGGATTACACAAGAGTTGTCATTTTGGAAACCAGTACACTTGTTTTAACAACCACATCCCACCTGCAGACTGCCACAGCCTATTCTATTTCCTTCCCACCTACTCTACCTTTATATTAGCTCTCCCACTCTATCCTAGGATTTCGACAGTGGCAAGGTTGGCCTTTTACACAGATTGTCAATTTTTTTGCCATAAGAGACCACCCTGTGCACTACAGAATATTCAACAGTATCTCTGGTTTCTACTCAGTAGATATAGTAGCACCCCCCGGTTGGGAACAACTGCTCTAATACCAAAATTTCTACTAATCAATCCTTTTTTTCTTCTCCTCTAACACCAGCCCACTTAACAAACTATTTTAATGAGAATATATCGAACCAAATGCCTAACTTCAGATTTTTCTCTTCAATAGTTACTGTCGCTTTAGAAAGAATGGTCACTAAATAAGAAAATTCATGGGAGAAAGAAAATATGTCTATTACGGTCAAAGAAAGGTGGAATTTGCCTAATCTTACTCAACTATCAAGTTCAACTTTTTAAAATAAAATTGACATAATGAAACCAAAATATAATTATAACTAACCTGAATATCTGAAGTTAAATGCACACCTTAATGTATACACACTAATACACACTTGGAACTTCACAGTTACATCATTCATTATAAAAGCAGAATGTTATATAAAATAGATCTGTTTTAAACTCTATCTTAAAAGTCCAAAAACTGATCTTCTGGTAGGACTCTGAAGGCTTCAATTCAGCCAGTACCCAGGGTAACTGAGAACAATGTATATTAAAAAGCAGTTCTCTATTTCAACATTTTATCTCTGTAAAGCTATTACCTCCTGCAGCTATGACGGCATCTGCCCATCGAACAGTTTCTTCATCATATTCTCTCCTCTTTACTAGACGAACCTCAATTCCCTCATTCCTAAGATAAAAAGTAAAGGTTATATAAAATTTCCACTAATAACATATATAATAGGATTAGGTTTGCAAGGTAAGTTATTATAATGGAGATATGGAGATATAAAATAAATTTATGTGCAACTTCATTTTCATTTAATTTTTTTTTTTTTTGAGAGAGAGAATTTTGCTGCAGAGCACGTGTCTTTGACAGAAAGACAGCGACAAAAAGGAAGAAATCATCCCCAAGAGGAGATGACCACACCACAATCCCTTCTCCTCCAATCTTCTCTCGTGATTTTGGGCACACACATCTACCTGGTGTGAGTTTTAAGCTACCAGGTCTGGGACTCAAACCACACCTGGCCATGTGGTAGTGTAGCAATGTAGCCATTATGCCAGCTGCCGGTACCACATTTTCATTTAATTTCAACAGCCAATTAACTATGTTAATCAGGAAGCACATGAATAAACTAAAAGTTAATACTACCCCAAATTTCCACGTGCTTTTCAAAACAGTTTTTAAAATATTACAAACAGCGATATTAATTGGTCAGACTTTCATTTTCTTTACTTCTACTGCTAAAATACATTAACTTTTAAGTTCACAAAAAATGGACCAAAACATTAACACCTAGGAAGATATTTTTAATTATAAGACTGAATAGCCATTATTTTAAATCTAAAAACTATTCATGAAATACAAGACACTGAGACAGTGACTGTAATACTTTGTAAATTGCATGTCCTAACAATGACTCTCTTGTATACACATAAACTTATTCCTGACTTAATATAGTCCCAGATTAATTGATGTTTTTACACTGATAATTTTTAGATACTTTGAATACTATAATGAACACTCAAATAATCCACTCTCCTGTTTGAAGACATAAACCATTATGCATACAGTTGAACCCTGATATGTACTGAAGTAACTCTGAGAAAAATCACTTCTCTGGCAGACCAAATTATTGAAAATACCTGCAAATTTTTCAGAGTTTAAGAATTTCGTTAGAAACACTACAAATCAGGCCCATTACCCTCAATATAATTCTATAATAATTTTTATTAAAAATTTAAGGATTAGCTGCTAATACAAAATTAAAATTAGAAATCCTGGATATAAAAGCCAAAGCAAGGCCCAATCCCACAGACTTACCGTAAACTATCTATAATATGCTCTACGTTTTTGGTGTGAATGTGATGTCGTTCAAGTAGTCCACTGTAGCTAGAGCCTTTCAATGCAAGCTATATCAAAATAAAAGAAGTGTTGTTTTACCATGTATTATATATGATGTTATAATACTATATCGTTAAAAAGACTTAAATATTTTTGAGGGTTACATTTCAATGACTACCTATGAAACCTACAAGTTCAAATTAAACTAGAGAGAGTTCATTAAATTGTAATTTGGGTTTGATGCCAAATACAGAATCAAATAGTTAGCAGAATCTCAAATATACATATTTTATACCTTAAGTTTTTAAAAAAAATTTTAATGACACTTTAATATATTGCACATGGCTACTAGAAGACCACAGGTAAACTAGTATGTTTAGAGGCAGTTAGATGACCTATGTTCCACTTGGATTTGTTGCTCTCTTGTATTCATATTTATAAATTCTATTTGGAATTTACTCTATATGTGCTAAACAAAGGTTTGATTTCATTCCAAAAATTGATAACTTTTAGATATAGTGACATGTTTCCTTCAAGACTCAACTGGAGTAACATTTTATAATTATGCTACCATTACTAGTCTCCTTTTAAAGTATATGTATTCTAAATAATCCATAAAGCAAAATGTTTGGAGAAAAGTTTAGAAATGTCCTCAGTGGACATCCAATTTAACCACCAAGTAGAAAATTTGTTCACTGGAGTGAGTGCTAAAATTCAAAAATATTTTATTAGGTCATCGGGAAAGTCATGACATATTTTCCTATGTCTTTCTATATAGAAGTGTGTCATGACTCTCCTGACAACCCAGTATTTCTTTTCTTCCTCCAAATTCCGTTACACTTCTCCTCTTCATGGTACAGTTTTCCAAGTACCTATCCAACATACAATCTTGAATATATTCTTTTATTTTAGGTCATGACTGACTGAATTATAAAGTATAACCAATTTTTAGAAAACATTTTTAAAATGTATTTTACTTTTTAAAGGTTATAAAGATAGCACTAACAACACAGAAGATGCGTACATAAAGAAAATTAAAATCAAGTATGAGGGAACTTCAAAAAAAAAATGGAATTACGAGTTTATTTTGGATCCCCAAATTTTTTAAATACAGGCACAGTTTATTCCCTAAACTTCTGAAGACGCCTTGCATTATGATGACTTCAGGATAATTAGTGTTAATATGCTGATATCTGCCTTCCCAGTGTCTTCTGTCTATAAATACAAAACATAGTTTTGTTCTTACTCTACAATCTAAAGGGAGCATATTTCTCAAAACAAGAGCTGCGGAGGCCTTTGGCTATGAAGGGAAATTAGGACACAGATGTAACTCACAAAGATATACTAGATCTGGGAACAGTAGACAGTGTAATGGTTACTTCACTGGACTCCCACAGTCGACCATGGTTTGAGTCCCGGACCTGGTGGCTTAAACTCACACCGGATGTGTGTACGTTTGCATGCCCAAAATCCCGAAAGGAGAACAGAGGAGAAGGGACTGTGGTGTGGTTATCCCCTCTGGAGGGTGATTTCTCACTTTCAGTCTCTATTTCTTTCTGTCTCTTTGGCAAGCGCATACACTCTACAGCAAAAACCTCTCTAAAAAAGAAAGAAGAAAAAAGATATACTAGATCAGCCAGCCTATAGAACAGTTCAGTGACTTGCCATAAACCTCATTATATTTAGACAGAGCAAAACCAATGGTAAGAAGTTTTTTAAAGGAAAGCAGTAACAAATATTTTTATTTGGATCTTTTAAAGTTTTATTTATTCCTTCCATAAGCAAGAGGAGGAGACAGGGAAAACCCCAACAGGATCCCAATGCCTCTATCCACCACAGCCAGCCTTAGCCATCTCTGGAACACACTCATGCCCCACATACTTGGATGTCTCCAGGCAGGAACATAGAACCTCCCCAGGTGGGTTAGTCTCACAGAATGTGGCGTTTTACCACTGTACCACTGTCCAGCCTCCAAATCCTTCATTTATTTTCTTCAACAAATCAATACAAATCAGGTTTGAAAAACTATTCTTAGAGTAGAATTTATGAATATGGATAAACATAACATTTAGATTATTTATTTTATTTATTATTTCTATTTCTTTCATACATTCAATCATGTTACTTAGCTCACAAAGTGAATATTCCAGCATCTGTACATTTCTCACCCGTCCAGTTCACATACTAGAAAGTTATCTTCAACAGATAATAATCCATTTCTTTGTCCCATAAATGCCTTGCCTCTCTATTTTTCTCCTTAATGTCCTTCCTCGGACTCTACTCTTTCATCCGTCCTCTTCCCACACAGTATCTGATATTCACGACCATTTACTTAGTTTCTATAACCTTTAATCATTCAGTTTTGGCCATAGCGTGCAGACACTCGGTATACATTAAGTAGAGACATATAATGTCTCTCCTTCATCGCCTGGCTTGCTTCACTCAGCAGTAAATCTTCCATATTCATACACTTTCTGTCAAAGCCAGGGCCTTGTTGCTTTTCATGGTATTCATAGTATTCCATAGAATATATGTGCCATAGGTTTTCAATCCATTCACCTGCTTGTGGGCATTTGGGTTGGCTCCATGTCTTAGCAATTGTGAATAATGCTGCAATAAACATCGATGTACAATCACATTTAGATTTATTATTATTAACCAGCTACAGATTAAATAAAAATTGCTCTAATTGTTTTTTCAAATGCTTTATCTGTGCTAAAAATAGAACTATAATATGATCCAGGAATCTTACTACTAAGCCTATGTCCAAAGGAATGGTAATCAGTATATTGTAGAGTAATGTGCACTCCAATTGCAGCACTATTCACAATAGTCAAAATATGTAATCACCTTACATGTTCATCAACAGATGAATGAATAAAGAAAGTGTGGTATATACACATATATACAAGGAGGCTTCAAAAAGTTCATAGAAACATGTATATTAGAGGTTTTTGCTATGGGGCACGTGTGCTCACCAGAAAGACAGAGAGACACGGAGAGACAGAAAGCGAGAAATCACCCCCCTAGGGGGGATGGCCACGCCGCATTCCCTTCTCCTCTCGAGATCTTGAGCACGCATGCACACACACGCGCCTGGCATGAGTTTAAGCCACCAGGTCTGGGACTTGAACTGTGGTCGACTACAAGGGAGTTCAGTGACATAGCCATTATGCCAACTGCTGGTTCTGAAACATATTATATTTTAACTCTATTTAGCTTCAAATTTCTTTTATCCCTCTCATACAATAAAATGCTATTCAGCCATTAAAAAGAATGAAATCCTGTTCTTTGAGACAATGTGTACAAGCCTACGAAACAATATGCTAAGTGACATACACCAGGCACACAAAGAGAAAAACATGTTTTCACTCACACATAGAAACTAAAAAAGTTGACATCATAGAAGTAAATGGAATAGTGGTTACTAGACACTGGAGAGGGAGTTTGGAAAGATGGTTAACAAATAAATACAAAACTACAGTCAGAAAAATAGGGTTGGCCTTTAGCCTACTGGCTAAGGGAAAGCCAGATTCCACACAGCCAAACATAGGGTTCAAATCCTGGTCCCAATGGCTTAGAAAACATGCCAAGTACGCATGTGTCCAAAATCCTAACAATACAAAGAACAGAGAAGAAGGGATTACAGCATGACCACACCCATTTCAGACAGCTTTCTCTCCATCCCTCTCCCTCTGGTTAGCACACGTACCCTCTGGCACATTTAAAAAAAGAAAGAAGCGTTCTATTATATAATAGGATAACTTCAGTTACAATAATTAAAAGTATATTTCAGAAAAGCTAAAAGAATTCTGAATGTTCTCCAACATAAATTAATGTTTGAGATGATACATAGATTACTCTAATTTGAACATTACACATCATACTCAAGTACTAATAAATCACAATGTATCTACACCATATATCCAATTATTACATGTAAAAAAAAAAAAGAAAAAGAAAAAGAAAATACTTATCTTCCCTAGTATCCTGGGAGCAGGCAGAAAAGTAATTATTTATTGCCAGAGGATGTATGTGCTCAATGAGAAAGAGAGAGAGAGAAAGCATTCCCTGACAGGCCACGATCCTGCAGCAATCCTTATTCCTCCATTTCTCCTGTCAGAATATTTAGGCATTTTTTTTTAAGCCAGCAGGGCTGGAACTCAATCCAAGGTCAGTCAATTGGGTTCCAGCTCCTAATGCACAGCACTTAACCGTTGTTGTACAAGTCAGTCTCAGAAAAGTTTTTTTTTTTTTTTCAGAGAGATTTTTACTATAGGATGCTTGCGCTTGCCAGAGAGACAGAGACAGAAAGCAATAAATCAACCCCAAGGAAGATGAACACACCGCAATTCCTTCTCCTCCATTCTCCTCTCTGGATTTTGGGCACCTACGCACACGCACCTGGGTATGCTTTAAGCTACCAGGTCTGGGACTCTAACTGCGGTCAACTACATGGGAGTCCAGTGACATAACCATTTCACCGCCTGCTGGTCCCAGAAAACTAAGCTTAAAAACACTTCTTTTTCCTTTTTTTTTCCCCCCTATAGGATGCTTGCGCTTGCCAGAGAGACAGAGACAGAAAGCAATAAATCAACCCCAAGGAAGATGAACACACCGCAATTCCTTCTCCTCCATTCTCCTCTCTGGATTTTGGGCACCTACGCACACGCACCTGGGTATGCTTTAAGCTACCAGGTCTGGGACTCTAACTGCGGTCAACTACATGGGAGTCCAGTGACATAACCATTTCACCGCCTGCTGGTCCCAGAAAACTAAGCTTAAAAACACTTCTTTTTCCTTTTTTTTTCCCCCTCTACTTTCTCCCTTAGCAATCTAAGTAGTTTTAAGGTTAGGTAAGAGATCTATATGCTAATGATTCCCAATTGTCCCTCCTAACTAACTGGCCTACCTGGCTCCAAATGAATTTACCCAACTGCCTTTTTAGTATCTTCCTTTGGATGTATAATCGTCATCTTGAATTAACAAGTCCAATATCAAACCTTTACTTTAATAGCCAAGGATTTCCCACCTACAGCTTATACCAAGAGTCTAGTCCCCCACTTGA